CCTGGCGGAGAAGCAGAAGTGCACATACTCATAGCACAACATGTGACTGGAGCAGAACCTGAGACTGTTTCAGGAATCAGGGAGGGTAGGCCCAACACCAAGCCCAGGGGAGAGAAGTGACGTCTGAAGGGCCGGGATCCTGCAAGGCCAGCGGAGGAGGTGGGGCTGGGCATGAGGAGCCTGGATAGTGACTCTACACTCTGCTCCCCTGCCCCAGCTCCTAGGAAGAGCCCAGGAATGGTGGGCTGGAAGGGGGGAAGGGGAGGGACAGGAATGTGGTTCCACACCTTAAGCAATCCTGCAGCTGAGAAGAGGGTGTTGATGCTTGCCAAAGGCTTCCGTCCCTGTGCCTTGGACACTGTATCTGGGCAGGCAGCGTGTCATGGCATTGGGGCGGGGGGAGGCGGGAAGGAATGGACACCTCGAGTAGACGGGTTGTGTAACCAGGCTTTGGCTGGCCAGCACAGGATGTCTGGTTCTTTGCTGTAGGGCCGCTAGGAGGAGGGGGAGGTAGGAAAGGAGAGTCATAGGGGCCAGGGACTGCACGGCAATGACAGGCTTTGAAATTGGTGGAGGCAGCCACGCTGAGGCACAGGTTACACTCAGCATGGCGCATTGGGATGCCTGAGCTCAGCTAGGCCACTACCTCTGGCAGAAACTTGCCTACTGTGAGCAACCTGGGCTCTAACGCCTGCCTCTGCCCCACCCCATCACTGGCCTCAAATGGGCAGGTTCTCTCTTTACCCTGGGGAGACACGGGGGCAGGGGGTGGAATAGAGGCTGGTGCAGGCTGGGTGTACAGGTCTGTGGTTGGGGTGAGGATCTGGGGACCAGTGCCTGGATAGCTCGGCTTCCGCCCACTTAGAACCCCTGAAAACCTCCCAACTCATCCCTCACGCTCAGTCCCAGTGTCACTGCACACTCTCGGGCTGACGGACTTTTCTCACCTTGGCTTGGCCCCCAAAATGTCATGTGACTTTGGAAAAGCCGCCATCTTTGGCTTTTGGCTTCGATGGGTATAAAATGAGAAGGATTGCTTCTGTCTGCACCTTCAGCTCCCTCCTCTCCCTGGCACTTGCCCCAAACAGAGCTGGCTGGCAACCAGAGCAGAACGGTGGAGCGGGATGGGCCGCCACAGGGTAGGCCTGAACGGAAGAGAGCGGAAATGGCCGGGGCCACAACCTCCCCGCCCCCCGGCAGCAGCCCTGAGAACACTGACTTAGGTCTTTGAATCCCTCCACTCTCACCACAGCCTGGTGGAGGTGTTGAAGGCAAGTCCTGGAGGAGGAAAGAACTTCCATCTGTCTCCTCCAACCCCAGGTGCTGCCTTTGGTCTACTCTCCCCACCCTCGGCCTCATTCTCCAAGGAGCCCCAACCACGCCCCTCCCCCCCCGATCCAGTCCAGTTCCCGGTAGCCACGCTACTCAACTCCATGAAACCCAGGGGTGGGCTGCTGGGTGGGAAGGGAAGTGAAGTTCCCATAAAACAAAGTGCACGGTGCCCGAGCGGTGGAAGGCCCCAGGCGTCAGGAGCCTCTACCTGGTGGCCCACAGGACATCTCCACCTGGTGGTCCCAAAGGCACCACCAATTCAACATGAGCCGTGAACATGGCAGCTCCTTCCTCCCTTTTATTAATGGCACCATTCTCCCAGGGACTCAGCCTCCAAACCTCCGTCCCTGCTGACTCCTCTTCTCCCTTTGTCCCCTGTCCAGTCTCTTCCTAAGTCCCGTCAGTCCGGCCTCAAGCTGTCTGCCTCTCTCCGTCTTTCCTGCCCCTGGATCATCTGTCTTATTTTTAGACTATCAAACGCACATACAGCATTTGGTGTGTCTGGCTCTGTTCTAAGTGCTTTACTCACCACCTTCGTGTTACAGGGGAGGAAACTGAGGCACAGAGGAGTGAAGCATCTGGGGGACCGGGATGACAGCCCAGGCAGCCTGCTCAGCGTCTGGGCCGCGAGTCTCGGTCTCCTGTACCGTCACGGAGTCTCCATGCTCGTCCCTGCACCTTAATCGTGCCCTCGCTCAATCCCTCCCATACGCTGCTCACAGGCTGGTCCTTATTCCCTTCGTATTTAAGGAAACACTTCATTGGCAGAAATCACTACAACAGTTTGGTCTTTCTGAAGCACGTCTTTGAACACATTATTCCTGCTCAAAACACCTAGAAATTCCCCGACTGCCCCACCTCGTGCAAACAGAATAGAGCCCAACCCTAGGCTAGGAATTCAAGGTTGTGACCCCAACAAGTTCCCCTGGGCCACCCCGCACTGTTGCCCGTGGGCACCCCTTCTTCTGGCCGTCCTGCGTCACCTGCTCCCACGCCAGTACAGCACCGGGTGAGCTCTAAATGGACCTTCCTTCCCTCCTCAGAGAGAGGCTGCCACATCTGATTCCTCTGTGAACCACCAAAGCGTCTACCACAGTGTGTCACCCAGAGGCAGGCACAGCACATGTCTTATTTTTAGACTATTAAACGCACATGAATGAGTAACAGTGAAACTGAGTTGCTGATAAGGGTGGAAATGAATTATTTCACTAAACAACATTTGGGGAACTCTTAGGCCAATCCTAATACTGGGCGCTATGTGAAACTCTACATACATCCTCACTTAGTCCACTCTACAATCTCAGTCAGTACTATCACTAGCCCCCATTTTACAGATGAGAAAACTGAGGCTCTGAGAGGGGAACTAACTTGTCCAGAGTCGTAGAGCTTTGAAGTAGAGAGGCTGGGACCGCAACCAAGCCTGCCTGACTCTGAAGCTCGCCATGGACCCTCCTATCTTGCTGCCTCCAGCGGCCAGAGGAGTGTTAGACAAACATTCCAATATTTGGGTCATGTCCAAAGACCACACAGTGGGTACACAGCAACCAGAGCAGAACGGTGGAGCGGGATGGGTCGCCACAGGGTAGAGTCCAGTGTTGGGACACATCACTGGATGTGGAATGCCTGAGGACTATAAGGATTTTGTGTAATGTTGCACTTCAGTCATTCAAACATGTATCAAGCATCTACTACTGTTTTGACTGATGGGTGCAGAGCAATGACAACTTCCCCCAAAACTCCTCCTCTCAGGTAGCTGATACGCTAGTGAGAGATGGGGGCAGGGGGTACTAAACAAAATATATATGTCAGAGGTGACAACTGCCATGGGAAAAATTAAGCCGGGTTAGGAAAAGGGGGCTGTCCAATGAGCTGGTGGGGGCATGCCGGGGTCATTGCTACTTGTACAGGATCAGGAAGCCCTTCCCAATAAGGCGATGTCTGAGCAGAGGCCTGCCAGGCAGAGGACACAGCAAGTGCCAAGGCCCTGAACTAAGAACGTGCTTGGCCCAGGCAAGGAGCAGTCAAGGGGGCTGTGTGGCAGGAGCAGAATGAATGGGGAGAGAAGCAGCAGGTGAGAGAGACAAGCCTAGGAAAATGCTGAGGCCTACACAAAGGCAGGCTCTGTGCAAGACCACCAGTCTGGGTAACAGTGAGAGCGAGGGTGCCCTGAGTGTGTTCCACACGCCTTAGGCTCAGTACTGCTGACACAAAACCTGCTGGAGACAGGCTTCCTCAGAGTCTAATGCGGAGACAGATAAAGAAACCCCACAGTGCCATGTGGCAGGTGTTATGTCAGGGTGAAACTATAGAAAGAAAGAAAAAAGCATCTAACCCAGACTAGGGGCCAGGAGGCTTCCCAGAGGAGGTAGCCTTGATGTGACAAACAGGAGAAGGAAAACACTCCAAAACAGGTGCGGAGAGGGAGGGGCGGCCGGACCCTGGAATGGCCAGGCAGAGCTCCGGGAGCAGTGCAGGGTGTGGAGGTGGAGGTGCTGGGCCAGGGTATGGGAAGAAGAGCCCCAGGAGCGGGGCTGGGAGAAGGAGAAAGGGGGCAGGCAGGGGGCAGGAGTATAGGGGCTTAGAAAGCCTCCGGATGGAGGCTCAGGCCCCGGCGTGTGGTTATGGAGTGGGGGACAAAGGGCCAGTAGGGGTGGCATGAAGCCTTCGGTAATGTACCTACCAGGGCCCTGCTTCTCACGGGGCATGAGGCGGTCTCGCTGGTTGTTGACAGGGAAGCGGAAGGTAAGGGGCCACCCCCACTGGCACCAGGCCTTGGCTTCTCAGCCCATCCGGTGAGGTTCACATCCAATTAGACAGCTCTCTGAGTCCTCACCCTGGGGCAGCCCAGGATGCTCTGGTAGGAGGCATAAACCTGTGCCCCCCCCCCCCCATAAACAGTGCTTCTTACAGTCAATCTCGGATGACAGAGCTCCGCTGTCGTCCTCCCTTCCATCGGAGATGGTGAAGCCCAGAGGTTAAGGCCTCGCCAAAGTCACACCGCCAGTGGGTGTCTACATTGGGACTTGAGCCCAGCTCCGGAGATTGCAAGCCCCACAGCAACACTGCGGCAGCTGCAGACAGCAGGGCCTGGTGATGGCCAAGCCCCAAGGACAAGCCTGGGAAAGGGGATGGGGCTGGCTCTGGAATGGGGGGAAGGGGGGATGGAGACCGAGTGAAGGACGCTGAGAGTGGAAGCAGAAAAGGAGCAGCAGGGAAGGTTGGAGAAGCTTTGAGACAGAATTAGAGGTGTTCCCAAAAAGACTGGTAGAATGTCCCAGCAGGGGTGTAAGAAACTGAGGCTGCATCTTCCCACAGCATGTTCCTGTGACAAGGCAGTAAGGGACCTCTTGCTCCCATTTCACAGGCGAGAAAACGGAGGCCAGGAGGGGTGCACACCTGGCTTGCCCAAAAGCCCATAGGAAGTTAGGGCCCCGTTAGAAGCCGAGGGAGACTGTTCCCAGTCCACCGTGGATGATGAAATAGAGATGATGAGAGGGGAAACGGAGATGGAGACAGGAATCAGGGCTTCATCCAAAGAGGGAGGGGAAAGGGGCAGAGGCAAGGGGAGAGCCTATCAGTGCAGAGACGGTGGAGAAATGAGGCCCTGACGCCCGGCTCCAGTTACCCGCAGGCGGCATCACCTGCCCGGCGTCACGGAGTCCCCGCGCCTGCTCCCGCCCGCACAGACCCATCCACTTGGCAGGCTTCGGGGACCCCTTCCCCGAGAGACGGCACCATGACCCAGGGAAAGGTACCGGCATCTCCCCCGCCTGCACCATCCTCCATCCTCGGGTTCCCGGCTCCCTGTCATCCTGAGCAAGCTCTCTGGACCACTCTAGCATCCTCCCCCGGCCCTTGTGGAAAGGCCCTCTGTGGTCCTTGCTGAAGTCAGATGACCAAAGACCCATTTCAAGGAATGGGTCGGGGCCTCTTCCTGCCCACCAGGCTCACCTCTCCTCCCCTGACCCCCTTCCACCCCTTGCTTTGACGTCCCAGAGCCCTGCACAGACGGCCAGCCCCCCTTAAGGAGTCAGCCTGGTGTCCGTGTGTGTGCGTGCGTGCATGTATGTATGTATATATGTGTGTGGAGTGCCTGTGTGCTCACCAGGGTGAGCTCTGAGGGGCAGTTCCTATCCAGCATCCCCTTCTGGTCCAATCCCAACCCTGACATTAGCTCATCTTTCGCACCATCCGCCAAAACACCCCCCACCCAAACCCCTGTCATTATTCTACATCTGGACACATCAACTGTGGTTAGAGGGTTACTATGGCAACCCTGCATCAGGATGCTCTAATTCTTGTTTTGGTTTTGGCAGGGCATGGGACTAGATGAGACCAGATGAAAGGTCTTTTCTTTCTTTTCCAGTTCTAGGCTTAAAATGTAGGGGAAGGGTTTGGGCAGAGACTTGGCTGGCCCGGTAGGGTTATGTAACATCAGCAGCCTGTGGAATTATACAGCCACCAGGGCCTAGGGCAAAGGGGGAGGGTCCTCGGGCCTTCTGCTTGGGGTACTAAGGATCGAGCTGAGAAAACAGATAAGGACCTCCCTTACACTCCCCTTCTTCTTTCTGAGATAGCCTCAGAGCCAATGGCAGCCTTCCCTGGATTCTCAGACCCCCCTCTCCCTGTTTTTAAGCTCATACAGCCTCAAAATGATGTCATTGGGTGATACCACCTCCTGTCATTGGGCAGACCTCACTTGGGAATGCCGGACGTGTGTGTGTGTGTGTGTGTGTGTGTGCGTGTGTGTGTGTGTGTGAAGGCCCAGGAGGCTCCGGTGATGGAGTGCGAGGGTGGGGGCTGGTGCAGGGACCAGCTTGGACAGAGCTGAAGTCGGAGGTGATCGTCCTTTCCCCAGGCGTGAGCGCTGGGTCTGGGCTCAAAGGACCTCCTTCTGGGGCTGAAAGGGATTTTCCTGGGCATGACTTTCCTGGTCTGGCTGGTCATGGAGGCTGGCGAGTGGGAGGGACGCAGGGGAGCCAGAACCCCCTTCCCGCAGGCCTAGGCTTGGAGGCCCTTCCCCAAGGAGGCCTGGCGGGTATTCACTGTGGGGAAAATGAAAACTCCTCCCTCTCCGGACCCTCTCCTCCACTCCCTACCCTCACCTCCGCCAGGCACTTTGCTGCCCCTGCTTCCTGTTCTGGGCTAACTGTATTCCCGCCTCCCCTGCTGCTCGCCCCCAGCTTACTCACAGGCTTTCTAGTGATGGACTAGACCCTTCCAGCTCAGTGGTCCTCAGGGCTAGGTGAGGACAGAGATCTGGTGCTTGCCTCTGACTGGCTGCCTCAGCTGGACGCACCCTGCAAAGAAGGGACTCCACGGCCTTCCTCAGTAGACCTTGAGGTTTAACACATTCTTTCTGGAGGCGGATCTAAAGTTCAGTCCTTTTTGGCTGTTCCAGTTTTCATACCTCCCCTCCACCCAACCTGCCCTTCTCTGGCGACATCATTCAGGCCCTCACAGCTCATGTCCTCTCTCCAAAGCTAAAGGTGTACATTGTGGGGCAGGAGGCACATTGGAGTTAAATGGACTTGAGCTTTCAACCTGCCATGGGCACGTTTTCCCGGGCCTCAGTTTCCTCATCTGTAAAATGAAAAAGGGGTTGAACTCGAAGCCTTCTGAGATCCCTGTCAGCAGTGATTCTGTGATTCTGCTCTGGCTCGGGGGAAGGCTGAGATTCCAATAGGACGAGGCCAGAACAGGGCCCTCAGCCAGGGCCTCTTGCCCTCCTTCTGCCCTGCAGTCCCCGTTCCTCTTCCTCTTCTCTCCCTCTCCTCCCGCCTCTGTTCCCCGGCTTTCCCACCCTCACTGTCCTTGGTTGTCTGCAGCCCAGCAGGAGCGGCCAGTCCCAGTGGATGGTGCCTGGGCTCTGCAGCCCAGTGGCCACGTGTGGCACTGTGACCTTGGGCGAGTTATTCTTCTCTCTGATCCTCCGTTCCCTCGTTTTAAAACAGAGGTCAACATACGACTAGCAAGGTAGCAGGGGGATTAAACAAGAGAATCGCTCGTTCAGTAATACTTTTAAGGGTTTACTGTCCCAGAACCCTCTTTAGACCCCAGAGAAACAGTGGACCCATACAAACCTAATCCTGCCATGGGAACCGTGACCACCAACGGGGAGGGTCTCTCCTAAGAATTTTCTCCTTTCTCAGTTCTTATCCCAACTCCAGCGTGTGCCTGGCCAGCCCTGACCTTCCTGGAGCTCAGTTCTCCCATCTATAAAATAGGGAGACACCCCCCCCAGCTTTATTGGGGTATAAGAGGCAAATAGAAATTGTATATATTTAAGGTGTACAACTTGATGTTTAGATATACATTGTGAAATGATCATCAAACTGTTCAACATGTCCATCACTCCACATCGTTCCTTCTATTTTTGTGGAAAGAACTTAGATCGACCCTCTCAGCAGATTTTTAAGCCCAACATACAGTATTGTTAACTATAGTCACCACGCTGTGCATTAGATCCCCAAACTCCTTCATCCTGCATAACTGACACTTTGTACCCCTTGACCAACATCTCCTCATTTCCCCCATCTCCCTCCCTGCCACGGGCAACCACTCTTCTACTCTGTGCTTCTGTGAGTTCGACATTTTAGCGTCCACATATCACTGGGAGCATGCAGTTTTTGTCTTTCTGTGAGTGGCTTATTTCACTTAGCACAGTGTCCTCCAGGTTCATCCATGTGGTCACATATAGGAGGATGTCCTTTTTTAAGGCTGAGTAATATTTCACTGCATACGTATGCAACAAAAACAGGGAGAGTCTTGTCTTCACCCTGCCCTTCCTAGTGCAGGGGACAAAGCACCTGTAAAACGCCCAAAATGGAAGGGAAGGCTTGGTGAGGAGGGCTTGGAAGACACCCTTTCCCTGGTAACCAGATCTCTCTGCCTCCACTCCACAGCTCTCCGTGGCTAACAAGGCCCCCGGGACCGAGGGCCAGCAGCAGGCGAACGGTGAGAAGAAGGAGGCTCCAGCAGTGCCGTCGGCTCCGCCCTCCTATGAGGAGGCCACCTCTGCGGAGGGGCTGAAGGCAGGGGCCTTCCCTGCAGCCCCTGCGGCTGTGCCTCTCCACCCCAGCTGGGCCTATGTGGACCCCAGTAAGTCCCTCAGCTCCTGAAGGCTGGAGCATCAGGGGGAGAGGAGGGCTCACATGGAAAACGGGGGTGGGAGGAAGTTGCCCAGAAATCGGTGCACTGGATGGTTGTTGTAGGAGGCTCTGTGGGCAACGGTTTGGGGTTTGGAGGACTGTTCTGAGGACGGTCCAGGAGGACTCCATGGGAAGGGAGACGTACAATGTCTGCACTCAGAGTGCTGTTGGATGGGGATGTGGGGATTTTTTTCCACGCAGCCTGCTAGGGCAGAGGGGACAGATGCAGGGAGGAAACCAGGGGCTGGTCTAGAGAGGCTCTCCTAGAAGAAAGGGTCACAGGAAAGCAATGAGAAGAGAACAGAGTAAGTGCAGGAAGGAGCCGTGTGATGCTGGGGCTGCTACAGCCTTAGCTGGGGTGGCTCCCTGTGAGTGGGGTGCAGCATGTTTACTTGTTAGCGGATATGAAACCTTAGTGGGGACACATCACCTAGGAGGCCCTAGGAGTGTTGGGGGCCAGAGACCTGAGGATCCATGGCACCCATTACTCTCCTGTCTCTCTCCCTTTCCCCAGGCCCTTGTTGGGGGCATGATGTGGGCAGGTGTGTGGGTGACAGCCTCAGTGCCCCTCACAACCAGACTCACCCAGGCTAGTGCCCAGAACTGTAGCTGGTGGGAGCCCCTTTGTTAAATTGAGCAGCCTGTGGGCGCTTTGCCTCAGGGCTGGGAACATATAGCTCCCAGGAGCTATAAGGAAAGGCCCCTTCTCCAATCTTCCTCAGCTCCTTCAGCCTCCTAGTAGCCCCTGAACCCCCTCCCCCACCCTGTCAGCTCCCCACCCCCACCCCCAGCAGAATTCTAGAAGGGGTCCCAGGGACAATGCCTCAGACAGTGTCTACTCATAAGGAGTGGTCACCATGGTCCACACTACTCGCCACAAAACCCCTCGTCCTAGACCCAAGCAGAACTATGTGCTTGTGTCCAACAGGAAGGCCAATGAAGGTCTGGTATTTGGGGAGCCCTTCTCAAGCCTAAGATACCCACAGGACTGCTTTCTCTCTTCTTTTCTCCCCCTCCATGGCCTGGCTAGTCGGCCTTGTTGGGGGGATACAGACAGAAAGAACATGAAGAAGAAGTGAAGGATGAGAGAGTGAGGGTCTCCAGGCCCCAGGCTTGCAATAGGCCCACCTCTCTCCCCTTCCTCTTTGCCCATTTCCTGGCGGCCAGGACTGGCTGCCTTAAGGAATGTTTTCCAAGCAGTTGTCAGGCCAGGAAGGCAGGTCATTGCAGTCAACATGTGACAAACATTTACTAAGTGTGTGCCAGGCACTGTGTCTGGCACTGAGCTCATTTCTGGGGATGCGTCCATTTGCAAGACCTGCCCTCACAGAGCTCAGACAAGGAAATAGACAACTACCACACAGTGAAACAGGCGCCGTGATAGAGGCCTGGGCACTCACCTAACCTGCCTGCTGTCAGGGAAGACTTCCCGGAGGAAAGGGCATCTGCGCTGAGTCCTGAAGAACAGCATGCATTATCCTGGTGAAGAGGCAGGGAAATGAGTGTTCCAGGCTGAGGAATGGGATGTGCAGAGGCCCAGGAGCAAGAAATGGAGGAGGAAATAATGTGCAGGGAGGGCGCTGGAGGGCTCCTGGGAGGCTGCGGGGCTTTGTTAAGGAACTTGAACTTGAGTGAAAAGCAGTGGGAGCTGTGAAGGAGCTTGAAGCAAGGCAGTGCTGTGGTCGTCTTTGAAAGACCAAGACGGAGGCTATTACTGTGGAGGGAACAACATGGAGAACTGATGGAGGCAGTGGAGGGGACACAGTGGGCACGTGAGGCCTCAGGAATGGCCCAGACAAGGGGTGCAAGAGAGAGGGTGGCGTCGTCCCCATCAGGGGACTCATTTCCCTGCCTCTTTACTAGGATAGCTCATGCCATTCGTCAGGACTCCAGGCAGATACCTTTTCCTCTCGTGATGCCAGAGCCACAGGCGATCACTTTTATGTCGTTTCATCCCCATGAGGTGGCTTCACTGACCCACTTCATAGAAGGGACTTGGGAAGGCTGGTCATTTGCTCAGGGTCACACAGTCAGTCTTAGAGGAGGAGCCACATGTGTGTCTGTCTGACAATGGAGCCCGTGCTCTTCTGAAAGTCTGGGCTCTGGGACCAGCCTGCAAAACTTCATTCCCACCCGCACCCCACTTCTTGCCCTGTCCTGGCTTTACTTCCCCTCCAGGAATCCCCCCGCCCTGGCTCCCGGCTGGATCGCCAGCGGGTTCACCCATCCAACTGGCCCCCGTTTCCACCCCAAGGGCCTCAGAGCAAGCTGGGTTCAGGACCCTTGACCCTGAGATGTGCTGGATAGTCCTGAGATTATGTCTGTCCCTCTCTGATTCTTTGCCACAAGGAAGCTCGAGTGTCCAGGGAGGCGGTGGGGAGACGAGAAGGAAGGGGCGAATTTGTACGGCAGAGCTTCATCTCCAGAGAGCCCAGCGGGTGGAGGGAAGGGGCAGGGAGATGGCAGTTCGTTCTCAGGACTCAGAACAACAGGGATGAGAAGCAGCTGGGGAGAGAGATCTGAAGATGGAGTGCAAGGGCTGGAGAGGAAGGCTTCCGCTGGGCCAGAGAGCCAGTTTGACAAGCAGCAGCTCTGAGCAGGTGGCGGTTGGGGCCAGTGTTTAGATGTATCGGAGCCCTCATGGCCCTCCCCTGCCCCCCAGGCAGCAGCTCGAGCTATGAGAGCGGTTTCCCCACCGGAGACCATGAGCTCTTCACCACCTTCAGTTGGGATGACCAGCAAGTTCGCCGAGTCTTCATCAGAAAGGTATCTGCCGCTCCCCAACTCTCCGGGACTGGGGGGCTGGGTGTGGGGCGCTCTGTGCGGCAGAGGCCACAGTCTGTCCCTCTCTCATGATGCCACCTGTTGGGAAGTGCTTCCTTTGATCCCCCCACTGGCCCTGCCAGCCCTAAACATGTGGTCTCTTCTGTCCAGATACTGAGAGGCCCCTTTGCTATGGGTGTGGGTTCTGGACCATCTTTACCCCTTTTACTGGGTCCTGGACTTGTTCCTGTGACCCTCAGGAAGGAGGCCGGAGGGCACAGGATGTGGTCTGGAGAGGAGACTGAGTCACAGGGAATCTTGGGCCTCCCTGAGCCTCCCCGGCCTCAAACAAGGACCCCCTCTGCCCGCCCCCCCCAAGGTCTATACTATCCTGCTGATCCAGCTGCTGGTGACCGTGAGTGTCGTGGCGCTCTTTACCTTCTGGTGAGTGGGCGTTGGAAACCAGCACCTGGCAGGGGCTGGCCGTGGCCAGGCCTAGGGTGGGAGCCCCGACCAACGTTGTAGGGCAGTGGG